AAGGGGGTTCCGGGCCGACCCCGGGGGGATTCCCAGATTCTTGGGCTTTTCAAAAACGGCCCGGCAGGGTGTGTGCAAAAGTGCTCGGCCACACCAAAACCGACATAAGCCCCGCGGCGCGGGGAACGCGCTCGTGGGGGGGGGGGGGGGACTAGCCCCGGATCCCGCAGCGGGGGGGGATTGAATTACCGCCGCACAGGCCGAGCGAACGGCGCTCGGCTGTGTCTCGCCCTCTCCCGCCCTCTCTCGATCTCTCTCACCGAGCCTCCCGCCTCCTCTCCCGCCCTCCGCAGCTCGCCTCGTGCATCCTCGACATCATCGCCATCTTTGTGGAGGAGGTGCGCGGGCTCCCTTCCCTCGCAGCCAACGAGGGCCCGATGACGGAAGCTGTAGTCCCGCAAGCAAGATGCAGTCCCGCCACACATAGGAGGCGACGCTCGTGAGGAGCAACACCCCCCCTCCCCCCTCCCTTTTTTGCTCGCAGGCACGCGAGGCGGCGAACATCGTCGACCTCATTGCTGACCTCGTCACCCTCTCTGTCGCCGGCTGCATGGGCGCCCAGATCAACCACGAGATCAAAACGGACGCAAACGGCGCCGAGCAGCACCCCCCCTCCCCCCCCCCCCCCTTCCCCCTCCCCCTTCACCCCCAACCCCCTCACTCCCCCCCGGTCCCGGTGCGGCGGAGGCGTGTAGGGCGCCTCTCACACACACGTGCTGCTGTGAGCAGGTATCAAGGAGCACCCCGTGGTGATTGGCATCCCCGTCGCGCAGGGCGGCCCGACCCCCGCGGCCGAGGAGATGGCGCGCTGAGCAAACTCGAGGCAAGGCGGCTGCGTCCATCTTCTCAAGGGCCATCCCAGCCTCGTGCCGCATGACTCAGGATCAGGTTCGAGATACACAGTACTAGTAGGACACTAGCGCGCAGCGGACGCGCCGGGGCCGTGGCCGCCGTATGTTGCATGTGTCTTGTGTGGAGTACCAGCCCGGCGCCAAGGGAGTCGGCTGTGGAGGGCCGGTTTGCGTTCTCTGGACAAGTTCAAGGGACGAACCAGATACCAGTTCCACCCGCGAGACGTCACTCCCTTCAGGTATATAGCAAATTTTGCCTTGTGCTTGGTTCGCGTGAGGGTCAAACTTTCTATAAACGACAAAAAGAAAAATCCTTGCCGCGCCAACCCCCCCGCCCGTCCAGCCTGTCCAGCCCCCCCGGGGGGCCAGCGTTGGGCCAACATCTATCTGACCATGTTCACGACAGTGCGCCTCAAAACGTTGGCTAGCCGCTGTCCTGCGCGTGCGGTGATTGCCCAACGAGGTGTGTATCCCTCGCAAGCGGGTCAGCGAGCGTCCGTCTCGCGAGCGGGTCAGCGAGCGGGTCAGGCTCGCCCGCTGTGCTCTCCTGCCACATCCAAAGGCAAGTCAACGCTGCTAGAATGGTGTGAGAGCAACCCGATAAAGTTCGGGGTCGGTGTCGCTACCGTCAAGACTCAGGCCGCCGACCTCCTCACCCAGAAAAGCCTCGAGGGCAAGTCGTGGGCCGAGATCGACTGGCGACGAAACGGACTCTTCACCGTCTTTGGCTTTGCGTACCAGGGCTGCTTTCAGTATTACCTGTACGTGACCCTCTTCTCGCGGTGGTTCGCGGGCGCGGCGCGCTTTGTCAACCAGCCGCTGAGCGTCAAGCTCACCGATTACGCCGGCCAGCGTGACGTGCTCAAGCAGATTGCGTTTGATGTGCTGATTCATCCGATCTGGTGCACTTCCGAGCCCGCCTTCCCTCGGGCTGCACACCTGGGATGATCCACAGCGCACACGGCGCAGGTTCTTTCCGATGTACTACACGCTCAAGGAGGCTCTGTGCGGCCACCCCAGCCTCTTTGATGGCGAGTCGCCCGCTGCAATCGGCAAGGTTGCGCTCTCGAAGTACGCCGCCAACAACTTTGACACCCGCAGCGAGGACGGCCTCCTCACCGACTGGATCGCCTTCTGGAAGATCTGGGTGCGGGGCCCTGTGGGATGGGGGGCGTCGCCGCTGCCCTCCCTCACCCAGCCGGCTTCAGCCTTCACGCCTTGGCCAATAGGTGCTGGGCGATGTGGTGGTGTACGGCTTATGCCCGATGTGGGCACGGCTGCCAGCGAACCACGTCTTCTCCTTCGTGTACATCTGCGTGCTCTCCTTCATGCGCGGGTCGTCTGCCGAGAAGGACTTGCCCTGCGTAATCGTCGAGCACGAGAGCGACGGTCCCAGCGAGCAGAACCAAATCCGAAAGGATACGTGAGGTGGGTAGACGTTGCGGAGTATTTTGTACCACATTTTTAATGGGCCAGTGTGCTCCCCGCTGTCCCTCAGCGCTCAGGCACCTCGTTGCGCCACACACCTCGCTGCAGGGCGCTACACACGACACACGTGTGAGGTGGGTGTGTGGCGCGTGTGGGTGTGCGCCCCCGAGAGGCGAGAGTCCAGTCCGCCGAGCCGGGTGGAGGTCGCCTTCCGCCGCGCGCCCCGGCGCGCCCGCTGGCCGCGGGGCCCTTTTGTGGTCTCGCCCGCGTCACCCTCGACACGGGGTGATCAAGGTTCAAATACAAGCGATTTTTTTTACACACTGTAAACGGGCGGGGGGCCCACTGCGACGTGAATTACAACCACCGCGCGGGAGAAGTCGAGCCACAAGGCGGGTTCCACGTCACAGCTCTCAGCTCACGCCCTAGTACGTAGTAGTAGTACGCCTACCGGTGCCGGTGCCGCGAGCACCTGCGTTCTCACAAATCGTCAATGTCGCCGAAGAGGTCCGCCTCGAGCGCCTTCGTCCGCGCGTCCGCGTCGCCGGACCGGGCCGTTGCCATCCCCGGACCACCGCTCGCCACCGCCCCTTGAATGGTGGGCGCGGGCGTGGCGGCCGGTTCGGCGGGAGTGGTGCTCGCAACCGGCGGCGCAGAGGAGCCCGCTGGCGGCGCGCCGACGCCAAGAGAGACCATCGAACCACCGTGCGGCGTGAAGTAGCTCGGCGCCGCCGCGGCACAGCGCTGCACGGCCATCACCCAACGCGCAAGGTTCCACGGCGCCGTGGCGGTGTGGCGTGCCTTGGCAGAAAGAGCGACCTGCGCACAGGAAACGATCTGGAAAGAGCGAGAGGGCGGGAAGGGGGGGGGGGGGGGAGCCCGCCTGCGAGAGCGACAGCGGTGCGCTGGCGTTGCGGAGCACGGCGACCATCAGCCGCGTCACCTCCACATCGTTCGGCCCGGCCGATTGCGGCACGGCGCTGGCCACGACCTGCTGCTCAGAGGCAGACGGGGCCGTGGCCGCCGCCCTCGAGGGGACAGCGGCGCTGGACGAGGATGGCGCTCCGGCGGCGCCCCCCTTGCTTCGCTTGGGAGGGGGTGCCGCTCCGCTGCTGCCGCTCGATTGCCGCACGAGCCGCGGGGAGGAGGAGGCGGCGGCGGCGGAGGTGCGGGCGGCCGCGGCGTCGAGCGAGGCCCGCGCGGCGGCAGCGGCTTGCGCGCCGATGGCCGCCGGCT